TGTCTCCTTTTCCGGGCCCCTCTTGTTTAGCTTTCAGTCCTGGCTTCAATATCACTGCCTTAGAGGGACCTCTCTGATCGCCCCTCGAAAAGGCTGTCCTGCCGTGGTGGGGTCCTGCGGCATCTTCACCGCCACCATCCGTCACAATTTCCATATCTCTGGGCTTTCCCAGCTCCGGCAGGGGCTTCCTCTGGTCCTGAACTCCTCCTTCCCCAGACTTCCCTCATGCAGACTGGTCTCTGAGAACTGCCAAGGGGGAGGGACTTGCTGTCCATCATGCCTCATGACTGGTGCTGCATCCTCATGGCTCAGTTTATTGTAAGGGGAGACGGGCCTGGCATTGTGTGTGTGGAATTGCATCCCCCAGGAGGTTATGTTCAAGTCTGCACCCCCAATACCTGCAAATGTGACTTTATTTAGAAATACAGTCTTTGCAGATGCTATTGTAATTTTTTTTTTTTTTTTTGAGATGGAGTCTCACTCTGTTGCCCAAGCTGGAGTGCAGTGGCATGATCTCAGCTCACTGCAACTTCCACCTCCTGGGTTCAAGCAATTCTCCTGCCTCAGCCTCCCAAGTAGCTGGGACCACGGGCATGTGCCACCATGCCCAGCTAATTTTTTGTATTTTTAGTAAAGACAGGATTTCACCGTGTTAGCCAGGATGGTCTCGATCTCCTGACTTCGTGATTTGCCTGCCTCGGCCTCCCAAAGTGCTGGGATTACAGGCGTGAGCCACCGTGCCCGGCCAGATGCTATTGTAATTAATGTAAATTAAGATGAAGTCATATGATTAGAGTGGGCTCTCACCCAATTATTGGTGTCCTTATAAGAAGAGATAGTGACACAGAGACTCTATGGCAATGGGAAGAAGGCCGCGTGGTGACAGAGGCAGAGATTGCAGTGGTACAGCTACAAGCCAGGAAATGCCGAGGACTCCTGGAGCCGCTGGAAACTGGAGAGAGGCTGGAACCGGTTCCCCTCAGCCTCCAGAAGGAGGCAGCTGTCGATACCTCCGGTTTGGGCTTCTGGCCTCCAGAACTCAGAGTAAACTTTTGTTATTTGAAGCCCCTCAGTTACGGGAGATTGGTATAATGGCCCTGCTGGCATCTTGGAAGCCAACACACGTGTCGGTGACGACCTGAGTAACGCCTTCCTTCCTGCGGGAAATGCGTGTTCCACAGGAGGGTCTCCTCCCCTCCCTGCGCAGCACTCACAATCCCCGTCTCCTGGGCTCACAGCAGGGAGCTGCCGTTGGCAGCAGACGTGGTCCCTCCTGTGCTGCATGCGCCTCTCGCGTGTCAGAGCTGCTGCTTGGACACCGCTAGGTGCTCCGCATTGGCGCTGCTGGACACTTGCCCTGGCTGCTGCTTTGCGAGCACACTTTATCTGATTTTTTTTTTTTTTTTTTAAACGGAGTCTCACTCTGTCACCACGCTGGAGTGCAGTAGTGTGATTTCGGCTCACTGCAACCTCCGCCCCCCGGGTTCAAGTGATTCTCCTGCCTCATCTTCCTGAGTAGCTGGGACTACAGGTACGTGTCATCACACCCAGCTAATTGTTTTGTTTTTTTTTTTTTTTGAGATGGAGTCTCACTCTGTTGCCCAGGCTGGAGTGAGTGGCACGATCTTGGCTCACTGCAAGCTCCGCCTCCTGAGTTAATGCCATTCTCACGCCTCAGCCTCCGGAGTAGCTGGGGCTACAGGCGCCCGCCACCACGCCCGGCTAGTTTTTTGTATTTTTAGTAGAGACAGGGTTTCACCTTGTTAGCCAGGATGGTCTTGATCTCCTGACCTCGTGATCCACCCGCCTTGGCCTCCCAAGGTGCTGGGATTGCAGGCATGAGCCACTGTGCCTGGCCACGCCCAGCTAATTTTTATATTTTTAGTAGAGATGGGGTTTCACCACGTTGGGCCAGGATGGTCTCAATCTCCTGACCTCATAATCCACCCGCCTTGGCCTCCCAAAGTGCTGGGATTACAGGTGTGAGCTACCGCGCCCAGCCTGTCTGATGTATTAAAGTCTGTGAGTTATGAGAGTGTGACTCTTTGTGACTCTTTTTTTTTTTTTTTTTTTGAGACAGAGTCTTGCTCTGTCGCCCAGGCTGGAATGTAGTGGCGCGATCTCAGCTCACTGCAAGCTCCGCCTCCCAGGCTTACGCCATTCTCCTGCCTCAGCCTCCCGAGTAGCTGGGACTACAGGCGTCTACCACCGCACCTGGCTAGTTTTTTTTTTTTTATTTCTAGTAGAGACGGGGTTTCACCGTGGTCTCGATCTCCTGACCTCGTGATCCGCCCACCTTGGCCTCCGAAAGTGCTGGGATTCCAGGCGTGAGCCACTGCGCCTGGCCGAGAGTGTGACTCTTGTGCACACATGTCATCGTTTCTCTATGGAGGGCGTGCAGACCCTCCAGGCATTCACATCTCACGTGACCACAGGCAGTAGTCATAGCCAGTAGTGCAGCGTCAGTGTGGCGTGGTGCTGGCATCTGACGGTGCTCAGGCAGATTTGGGACACGTCCTCCCTGCCCTTTTTCTGACCCAGTGTCACATGCTGCATTGGGACCCCCTCCAGTCTGGGCCGGGCCTCGCCGATCTCTTTCCTGACCCGATGCTTCTGAAGGTTTCTGGCTGATCATTTTGTAGGGTTGGTCTGTTTTGAGATTGTCTGACATTTCTTCAGAATCAAATAATCAGGTTCCAGGCCAGGGGTGGTGGTGATACATGCCTGTAATCCCAGCACTGTGGGAGGCTGAAGTGGGCGGATCACCTGAGATCAGGAGTTTGAGACCAGCCTGGCCAACATAGCGAAACCCTATCTGTACTACAAATACAAAAACTAGCCGGGTGTGGTGGCGTGTGCCTGTAATCCCAGCTACTTGGGTGGCTGAGGCAGGAGAATCGCTTGAACTCGGGAGGCGGAGGCTGCAGTGAGCTGAGATCGCACCACTGCACTCCAGCCTGGGCGACAGAGAAAGACTCTGTCTCAAAAAAAAAAAAAAAAGGGGAAATTCAGGTTCCTGTGTTTGCGTCCTGGGTGCCCCGCAGGAGGCTCTTGGGGTGTTCACATTGATTGCTGGGTTCAGGTGCCTGCTGGGTACCCCTGCTGTTACTGTTTTTCCTTGGTGACTGCCGAGCATCTTTTGGGGGTCACTTTGAGGCTGTGAGCTCTGTTTCTCACCATATGTTCTCTGCGGGTCCAGCATCATGGATGCATCTTGCCTGAGACTGTTGTGTTGGGATGTTGGTCGAGTGATGGTTTTAAAGCACTTCCCTCATTCTCTCTGCACTCACTCGTGGCTCCCCACCGCCCCGTGAGGAGGTGCTTTCCCGCCACCCCCACCTCACCTGGGTCCGTGGGTTCCTGCGTTCCTGATTCCTGGGTTTGTGGGTCTGTGGGTTCCTGGGTCTGTGGGTCTGTGGGTTCCTGGGTTTGTGGATTCCTAGGTTTCTGGGTTCTGCATCCATGGGTCTGTGGGTTCCTGGGTCTGTAGGTTCCTGGGTCTGTGGGTTCCTGGGTCTGTGGGTCTGTGGGTTCCTGGGTCTGTAGGTTCCTGGGTCTGTGGGTTCCTGGGTCTGTAGGTTCCTGGGTCTGTGGGTTCCTGGGTCTGTGGGTTCCTGGGTCTGTGGGTCTGTGGGTTCCTGGGTCCGTAGGTTCCTGGGTCTGTAGGTTCCTGGGTCTGTGGGTCTGTGGGTTCCTGGGTCTGTGGGTTCCTGGGTCTGTGGGTTCCTGGGTCTGTAGGTTCCTGGGTCTGTGGGTCTGTGGGTTCCTGGGTCTGTAGGTTCCTGGGTCTGTAGGTTCCTGGGTCTGTGGGTCTGTGGGTTCCTGGGTCTGTGGGTTCCTGGGTCTGTAGGTTCCTGGGTCTGTGGGTCTGTGGGTTCCTGGGTTTGTGGATTCCTAGGTTCATGGGTTCCTGGGTATCTGGGTTCATGGGTTCCTGGGTTCCTATGTTCGTGGGTTCCTGGGTTCCTGTGTTCACTGCCGCTTGCTTTGCTCTGTGTTACCGGCAGGCTACTGGGGAGCCATCCTCACTTCCTGCACCTCGACAGGTTCCAACTCTTTTCCCTGCCCCAGCCCTGAAATCAGCCATTTCTACACAGACTGTGAAGACTGTTTTTAAAATAAAATCCTAGTTATTATTTTTTCAAGTTATAGTGTGGCTGCTGTCCCCTTTCTAAGGTTTTGTGTGTGCTTTGTGCAACCAGGAGGGTTCAGAATGTGGGTGTGCAGCCCCTCATGGTGCATGGTGTGAAGGGAGCTGGCCCTCACCATGCAGGAATGGTTGGTGGAATTAGGGAGGGAGGCTGGCTTGTCAGCCATAGAGCCCCGTCCTGTGAGGGCTCTGACGCTGAGACAGAGGTGAGGCCGGGCCGTGGCTGTCAGCTGGGGGCTCTGAGCTGGGACAGAGGTGAGTCTGGGCCGTGGCTGTGAACTGGGGGCTCTGAGCTGGGACAGAGGTGAGTCTGGGCCGTGGCTGTGAACTGGGGGCTCTGAGCTGGGAGAGAGGTGAGTCTGGGCCGTGGTGTGAACTGGGGGCTCTGAGGCTGGGACAGAGGTGAGTCTGGGCCGTGGCGTGAGCTGGGGGCACTGAGGCTGGGACAGAGGTGAGTCCGGGCCGTGGCTGTGAACTGGGGGCTCTGAGCTGGGACAGAGGTGAGTCTGGGCCGTGGTGTGAACTGGGGGCTCTGAGCTGGTACAGAGGTGAGTCTGGGCCATGGCTGTGAACTGGGGGCTCTGAGCTGGGACAGAGGTGAGTCCGGGCCGTGGCTGTGAACTGGGGGCTCTGAGGCGGGGACAGAGGTGAGTCTGGCCGTGGGTGAAGTAGGGCTCTGAGCTGGGACAGAGGTGGGTCCGGGCTGTGGCTGAACTGGGGGTCTGGGCTGGTACAGAGGTGAGTCTGGCCGTGGTGTGAACTGGGGGCTCTGAGGCTGGGACAGAGGTGAGTCTGGGCGTGGTGTGGGGGGCTCTGAGCTGGGACAGAGGTGAGTCTGGGCGTGTGTGAACTGGGGGCTCTGAGGGGGACAGAGGTGAGTCTGGGCCGTGGTGTGAACTGGGGGCTCTGAGGCTGGGACAGAGGTGAGTCTGGGCCGTGGTGTGAACTGGGGGCTCTGAGCTGGGACAGAGGTGAGTCTGGGCCGTGGCTGTGAGCTGGGGGCTCTGAGGCTGGTACAGAGGTGATTCCGGGCTGTGGCTGTGAAGTAGGGGCTCTGAGGCTGGTACAGAGGTGAGTCTGGGCCGTGGTATGAGCTGGGGGCTCTGAGCTGGTACAGAGGTGAGTCTGGGCCGTGGCTGTGAACTGGGGGCTCTGAGGCTGGGACAGAGGTGAGTCTGGGCCATGGTGTGAGCTGGCACCCCAGTTGCTGGTGGCTTTCCCCAGCTGACATTGACCAGCATTGGGTGTGCAGTGTGACTGGCTCTGATTTGTGCTGCTTAGTTTGAGACTATTTGAATGGAGCCACTGCTGCAGAGAGACCTCCTTCTGAAGCATCACAGTGGGCCCGGCTGACCCTGACCCAGCGCAGGACACCCCTCTTGGAGTCTGGGGCTCTTGGCTGTGGGCTGGAGATGACAGTGGTGGCTGCCGAGGGTGGTGGGAGTGGGCAGCGCCGAGCGCGTGATTTCAGACCCAGTGAGCCAGGTGGTCACAGCCTGATTTCAGACCTAGTGAGGCAGGTGGGCACAGCCTTTAGCTGGTGTGTTGTGTCCCCTGGCCTGGAACAGCCCTATGGGTGGGTGGCACCTATCAGGACCTGTGCACAGACTCTGCCTGGATTTGGTCTGCCCAGTCTCCTGGACCTGACAGCAACAGGGCTGTGCCTGGTGACGGGAAGGCTCCGAGCCAGGCCGGGTGGCCCACTGTGCGCGTAGCTGCTGTGTTGGTGGCGCCTTTGCCCTGGCCCTCGTTTGGGAAGATGCTGGCTTTTGGGCTCTAGGGAAGTGTCTATTGGTTTCTGTTGAGAGCAGTTGTATATGCACATTTTAAGTGTGGAACGCAGGTATTGAACCGTGTTGAAACCTTTCCAGCATTGGCAGAAGTGTGCGTGTGAGTCTCCTTTGCCCTCTACTTTACTGGCAGGTGGCATGGCCCGAGTGGCCGGCGGTCCTTCCAATGGGGCGGCCCACGTGCCTCCCACGTGCCAGGCTTTTAGGGCAGATGCTTGTGAACGCTGCTGCCTATGGGTTGCCTTCATTGGTGGAGGTGAGGCCTCAGCTTTGGCGTCCTGTCCACCCTTAATCCTTGCCTAGGAGCAGTCTGTGGGCCCCAGAAGACTGGCCAGAAGCTGGAGCTGGGCGGCAGCTGAGGACGAGCACCTTGGAGGTTGTGTGGAGGTTCCATCACTGCTGTCTTAATTCCCAGGCACTCTTCTTTTTCTCTGGAAGTTCCTTTTTAAGGGTGTCCTGGTCTTCATGGAGGTGCCGTGTCACTCCGAGCGCAGAGGGCTGCTGCTGAGGAAGTCCTTACCCTCCCACCTAGGGCTCTTCTCCAAGTTGCTGGTTTTGCTTGTTTGCCCCTTGTCTGTTTTGGCCTCTGTTGGGTCTGAACTAGGTGGCCTTGGCAGCTCCTCACACCCAACGGTGGGAGCCTGAGAAGGGTCAAAGCTGGGGCAAGTTGGGGACACGCTGGGCGCAGGGCCACCTTGCTGGGCACCTCGGCCTGTTGGTGTCTGTTGGGAGCAGCCCTGGGGCAGCCCCGCAGCCTCTGCCGGCAGTACAGACAGAGCTGCCCATTCCTGGGGCTGGGGAGCTCAGGGCCTGAAAGACCCCCCGAGCCCTCGCCCTTCCTCTGCCGGCCCCTTGCTGTCAGCAGACCAGGTGCGGACCCTGGTAGGCTTCCTCTGCCCCAGCTTCAGTGGAGAGCGCTTGCCCAGCCGGCTGGCGGGAGTGGGAGGGGTGTTTGGCCACTTGGAGCAGAAGGGGGTGGGTAGTCAGGGTTTCTGCATTCCTGGCTTGATACTGGCTTTCCAGCAGCTTCCCAGCTTCCAGAATGTCCTTGCCATCATCTCCCATCCTATTTCCCCTTTTTTGGAGCAGGAGACTGGGATGGCCTATCTTTTTCTTTCAGTTGAGGCTTCCAGGGGGCGAGATGGGTCTAACATGCGCCTTTGCCTTTAGCCAGAAGACCACCGTGATCAGATTTTCCAGAAAAGAACTTGCATGGTAGTTTTGAAAATGGGAGGGTGTTTGTGAGGCAGGATATCGGAAATACTTTATACACAGGGGACCTGGCATGTAACAGAAACACCAACAAAATGATTTTGGGTATAATCACATGGTGATTTATCTCTTCTGAGAAACAGGCACAAATCCTGAAGAGCCTGTGGCACGGACTGCTCATCTGTAAGGAAAGTGGAGACATGACTTTGAGATTTAGCTCAGAACTAGCAATGCCGGGGCCTTCGAGAGTCTGATGTTCCAGCACTCTAGTGCCGGTTGGTGTGGACGGAGGACACGGGGCCCCAACCATGGTCACACTCATCACTGAGAAGCTACAGAGCCAAAGCCTGGACGACCTCACCTGCAAGACCGAGGCTGGTCCGGTAAGCAGCTGCAGGTGGCACAAGGCTGGGTGCCCCTCCCCCGTGCTGTCACAGGGGAATGGCCACACTGGGAAGTGGAGGTGAGGGCTAAGTTCTCAGAGGCCTGGGAGGCACTGCTAGGCCAGGCATGGTGGTGTCTGGTACACAAGTGGGTCCCAGAGCCCATCAGTGTCATCACAGCGGATTTTCAGCATCATTTAAAAAAACAGACTTATTAAAAATGCCAGCGGGGCACAGTGGCTCACGCCTGTAGTGCCAGCACTTTGGGAGGCTGAGCGCGCAGATCAATTGAGGTCAGGAGTTTGTAACCAGCCTGGCCAACATGGTGAAATCGCATCTCTACTAAAAATACAAAAACTAGCCGGGCGTGGTGGCAGGCGCCTGTAGTCCCAGCTACTCGGGAGGCTGAGGCAGGAGAATGGTGTGAACCTGGGAGGCGGAGCTTGCAGAGAGCTGAGATGGCGCCACTGCACTCCAGCCTGGGCAACACAGCGAGACTCCGTCTCAAAAAAAAAAAAATGCCTTGAGTTGCTATTTAAAAAGATAGGGTTTTACCGAAAGGCTGACTTACACACGGAAGCTGGAGCCCCAAGCACAGGTGTGCCTGTTAGCATCCAATCGAGCAGCAGCATGTGCCCCACTGGCCTCCCTGTCCCTCCCCTCCTAGCTCCACCTCCCAAGGGAGCCTCTGTCTTGGATTTGATCACCACATTAGCTTCCCACAGGCAGACTGATTTTCCTACAGTCATGGTGAAGTGAACTTTGGATGTGCCACCTTCAGGACCCACCCCCCGCCCTGGTTAGAAGGCATATCTAGAAGGAGGTGGCTGATGTCTAGCCTGGAGGGTCTTGCCAGGCCCTCAGAGCCAGCAGAGGTGCTTGGAACACCTGCCTGTCCTGGGCCCGGCTTGGCCGTGGCTCTGGAGGCGTGAGCACGCTGCATTTGTAGCCCCGTGCATGTTATGGAAATGAGAGGGTGAAGGGAAAGCTGTGGGTCTCAGGCCTTTGGGCTGGACACGTGTGACCCATCTTCACCGCAGGGGGTTCCAGCAAGGGTCTGCGGGTCCAAGCTGAAGCCTCTCCTCCCAAGAGCTGGCGAGCATGGGCGTTGGGCTGTGGGAGGTGGCGTGCGGCCTGAACCTTTGCAAGCACTGCTTATGGGGCCTGGCGCTCAGGGCCACGATGACCGAGGTGACCATGGCAGTCAGTGCTGGCTGTGTCCTGTAGTCAGTACGTTTCTGGCTGTCAGCCCATGGGTAGGGGTGGCTGAGGCGGGGAAGGCAGTGCTTGCCTGATGTCTCAGTGCCTTGCTGGCTGCAGAACCGTGTTCTTTCCAGACACCGTGGCCAGTTCCCATTTTTTCTTTTCTTTTTCTGGAGACAGAGTCTTGCTTTGTCATCCACGCTGGAGTGCAGTGGCACCATCTCGGCTCACTGCAACCTCTGCTTCCTGGGTTCAAGTGATTCTTTTTTTTTTTTTTTTTTTTTTTTTTGAGACGGAGTCTCGCTCTGTCACCCAGGCTGGAGTGCAGTGGCCGGATCTCAGCTCACTGCAAGCTCCGCCTCCCGGGTTCACGCCATTCTCCTGTCTCAGCCTCCCGAGTAGCTGGGACTACAGGCGCCCGCCACCTCGCCCGGCTAAGTTTTTGTATTTTTAGTAGAGACGGGGTTTCACTGTGTTACCCAGGATGGTCTCGATCTCCTGACCTCGTGATCCGCCCGTCTCGGCCTCCCAAAGTGCTGGGATTACAGGCTTGAGCCACCGCGCCCGGCCTCAAGTGATTCTTGTACCTCAGCCTCCCGAGTAGCTAGGGTTACAGGCACACGCCACCACACCCGGCTAAATGTTTTTTTTTTTTTTTTTTTTGAGATGGAGTCTTGCTCTGTTGCCTAGGCTGGAGTGCAATGGCACAATCTTGGCTCACTGCAACCTCTGCTTCCCAGGTTCAAGCAATTCTCCTGCCTCAGCCTCCTGAGTAGCTGGGATTACAGGTGTGTGCCACCAGGCAAGGCTAATTTTTGTATTTTTAGTAGATGGGGTTTCACCATGTTGGTCAGGCTGGTCTCGAGCTCCTGACCTCATAACCTGCCTGCCTCGGCCTCCCAAAGTGCTGGGATTACAGGTGTGAGCCACTGTGCCTGGCCTAAATTTTGTATTTTTAGTAGAGACGGAGTTTCACCATGTTGGCCATGTTGGCGAGGCTGGTAAGTGATCTGCCCACCTTAGCCTCCCGAAGTGTTGGAATTACAGGCGTGAGCCACCACGCCTGGCCCTATTTTTCCTTTTGATTAAATGGAGAAAACGTTTTTAAGGAATCTCTAACCAAGACCAAAGGATACAGAGTGGCATATGCCTGTCAGATGGCTGTGTGCCTCCGAGGACATTTTTGGCAAGTGGATGTCAGCCAGGGCGTGGGCAGCTTTCCAGGGAGGTGGCTACACAGCGTGTCTGCCGGGCCTGGGAGGTGTCTGGACAGATGTCCTGGTTTGGAGTGACCCACAGGCCCCCACATCCTCTGTGCTTTAGGTGGCCGCTCTTCACCTCTTGTTTTCAGCTTTGATTTTAGATACGGGGGTATATGTGCAGGTTTGCCCCTTGGGTGTATTGCATTCGGGTTGTGAGCATAGTACCCAGTAGGTAGCTCTTCAGGCCCCTGCCTCCTTCCTCCCTCCCGTTCTTCATCTCTTTACGGAGCACTTGTCTGTTGACAGAGAGAAGGCAGCGTGGGCAGTTCCTCGGTCAGCCTCAGCCTTGGGACAGGAGCCCTGGGGGCCCTGCAGGGTGAGTGGTCATGAGGGTTCCATCACAGCCTGCTCCTGCTCCTGCTCCTGCTCCTGCTGACCCGGCTCTATTAGTGGCCAGCCAGGCCCACTGTTGCGTCTTCTGCTGTCAAAGATGGTTTTTCCCAGTGACTCCTGTTTTCTTAAAACACGGCCTGTGAATATGGCCGTGGTTTCTTTCTGAAATGGGAGGACAAACCTTTTTATCCCTAAGTGTAAACCTTTTTACTTTTTTTTTTTTTTTTTTTTGAGATGGAGTCCTTGCCCTGTTGCCCAGGCTGGAGTGCAGTGGAGTACTAGCATGTCACTGCAACCTCTGCTTCCAGGGCTCAAGCGATTCTCCCGCCTCAGCTTCCTGAGTAGCTGGGACTACAGGGGTGTGCCACCATGCCCAACCTATTTTTTAATTTTTAATTTTTTTTGAAAGGGATGGAGTCTTGCTCTGTCGCCCAGGCTGGAGTACAGTGGTGCAGTCTTGGCTCACTGCAAGCTCTGCCTCCCGGGTTCAAGCGATTCTCTTGCCTTAGCCTCCCGAGTAGCTGGAATTACAGGCACCGCCACCATGCCCAGTTAATTTTTTTTTTTTTGTATTTTTAGTAGAGATGTGGTTTCACCATATTGGCCAGGCTGGTCTTGAACTCCTGACCTCAAGTGATCCACCCACCTCAGCCTCCCAAAGTGCTGGGATTACAGGCATGAGCCACTGTGCCCAGCCTTTATCAGGATTTTAAAATTTTATGTATTTATTTTCATTTTTTAGATGGAGTCTCGCTCTGTTGCCCAGGCTGGAATGCAGTGGTACGATCTCGGCTCACTGCAACCCCTGCCTCCCAGGTTCAAGCGATTCCCCTGCCTCAGCCTCCTGAGTAGTTGGGATTACAGGCACATGCCACCAAGCCCAGCTAATTTTTGTATTTTTAGTAGAGACGGGGTTTCACCTTGTTGGTTAGGCTGGTCTCGAACTCCTGACCTCAGGTGATCCACCCCCGTTGGGCTCCCAAAGTGCTGGGATTACAGGCCTGAGCCACTGCACCCGGCCGGGTTTTTTGATCTTTGTGATGAGGACAGTGTGATTGCCTGTGTTGAAGAAACCCAGTTACTCAGTGATAGACTGTTTACACGTGAGACCAGCTCTCCCACGTAACTTGTGAATATCTAAACACAAGTTACTTCTAACATTCACGGAAACAAGTCAGTATTTTAAGTAGCCAATTCGTTGCATAAAAATAGAAATTGATGTTTTCAAAGGTGACTTAAAATAGTATTTTTATGAAAAATAAGTGTAGACAATTGTACAGAGTAGAAACTCATACATTCATGTGTGAGTTTCTGTGTGGAAGTATGTCTTCATACATACCCACGGCCTGGCCTCAGTGAGCAAGCAAAGCGGGCGCCGTTAGCTCAGGGCTCCTTGTTTGATCTGTACCTTCACCCAGTCCCCTCCTGCCATGATTTCATAGTGCATTCTAGACATACTTTCTCTGCAAATATCTCATTCTGTATCTCCAAAAGATAAAAACTTTAAGACACATGACCAGAATGTCATTTTCACACCTAAAACCCTCAGAGATTCCTTAATATCTCTAAATATCCTGTCAGCGTTCAAACTTCCCCAATTGTCTGAGTTTATGAATTTGTTCAGGGAGTCCAGATTCAGGGTGTCTCTTGTCCCTTTTCCCCGTGGGGTCCCCCTTGGAGCTTGTGTGTTGAGGACGCAGCTACTTGTCCTGGAGTGTCTAGGCTGCATGCCCTGGCTGGCACCTCACGCGCTCCCCTCCCATGTTTGTTCCGGAGTTGCTGGTTGGAGCCAGTGCTGCCCTGCCTCCTATGGTTCCCTCTAGTTGCACATGGAATTTTTTTTTTTTTTTTTTTTTTTTGTTGTTGAGACAGAGTCTCGCTTTGTCGCCCAGACTGGAGTGCAGTGGCTGGATCTCAGCTCACCGCAAGCTCCGCCTCCCGGGTTCACGCCATTCTCCTGCCTCAGCCTCCCGAGTAACTGGGACTACAGACGCCCGCCACCTCGCCCAGCTAGGTTTTTGTATTTTTTTAGTAGAGACGGGGTTTCACCGTGTTAGCCAGGATGGTCTCGATCTCCTGACCTTGTGATCCGCCCGTCTCGGCCTCCCAAAGTGCTGGGATTACAGGCTTGAGCCACCGCACCTGGCCGCACATGGATTTTTAAACTGAAATTAAAGTTGATTTAGTGATTTAGCTTTTTTT